CGCAAATATATATGTTTAATTGTATACATACTTATATATCTTGTACATATATTGTAAAATATTTTATAATATATGATATTGAAAAAATTGCATTAGATAATATGCATAACAAATAAAGTCAAATATAATTTTTTGTATATTTGAATTTACTACAATTTTTTTAAAACCTCATTTATAATCTTTAATATGATCTATCCTAATAATATATATAGATATGCAATTAATGTAATATAATACATTTTTTAATGTAATATAATACAAACAGAATTTTAATTCTTAATAGAGAAATTGCAATTCAAGCATTTCCAACATACATATAACAAAATTTATTTTTTTTATTTTTTTTCTTATAGAAACAAATTTTCAACCCTTTTTTCTGTACATTTATAACTGTACACATTATAGTTACGAGACGCTTATATCGAGGCGCTCCATCTGAAACATTTCTACATGTTTCGTACAAGGAGAGAACATCTCTTTCCTTCGATGGTACTCCCGGCATTCACGTTTCACAAATGCAGTCTTGCGTTCGTGAATGTTTGTCTTATTGACCACTTCTGTTCAAAGCAGTCGAAGTCGAACGCGTGTAGGCGCCCCTGGTTATCCTACTACTGAGGCGCAGCTATAAAACTCCTCAATATGGAAAGTTGCACGTGATCCTAAGGAGTCGTACGTATGTACCTACAGAGTCGTCCAATAGGCATCGTGTATTAACTACTACGATGTGTGCCGGTCCTGTGTACCAACCATGGGCGCCACCATGCATAAGGCATATAGATTCCCTGCTTTACACGATACGAACCTTATTTGCAATATGACATTATGATAATTTTTGAAATAAATGTTTTTATAAGATAAAGATGAATGTATATTATATAAGAATTAAGAAATTTAAATTTTATAAAATCATTTATATATGGTAAATAAGTTATTTTGCAAGATTAATTTAAATATTAAAATATTTAATTTAATTTAAATATTCTAAAATTATACTGAAATACATGGAATTAAAAATCATTTATATAATTATTATATTTAAAAAATATTTATATATAAGATTTTTATATTATTAATATCATGATTTTCATTCGTTTATAATAATAAATAATTAACAATATTAAAATACTAATAAATAAGCATTTCATTAATAGATTTAAATCTTTGAAATATTTAATTTTGTTCTAATTATAGATACTCGACTTTCTTCTTTTCAATCATTATACACATTTCTCAAATGAATAATTACAAGTGCAGTCAATCGCAACAATCTGAATACTTAATAATCTAAACTATACAAGAAATACAAAGCTATTTTTACATTTCTCAATTGAACCATGAGTTTGATTCTAGGTGACGCCTATGGCACTACTACCAATGAATTCGCGTCTCATATGTAGAAGACTGGTCCTGTAAGAGGATGGACATCTCGCCTACACGCCTAGCAGATCTGTGCTCTCGGGTGTCGAGAAAATTTGCATCGGATCGGAGTGTCTGCCTAGTAACTGGCTGCTTTTACTACAACGGGTATCGCGCGGCTTGAGATTCGAGAAATGCTTCTGCATTCTCGTCTTCTTCTTCTTTCCTTCGTTCATTGTGTGTGTATTCACGATATGCATACTTACATATATACGAGGCGAGCACTTGTCGAACTGCCTGCCAGATCTTAATGTCTATCGTACCATTCGTACCGATTGTACGAAAGGCAGTCGAGGTGAAGTTGTCGCCTCACGAAGGAAAATATTGGACCGTTCGCGTTGAAAAAATAAACTAACATGCTTGGGAAAGGATTGAATCGCGTGTGCGTTGCCGGATATTTTTCGAAGTGTTCGTAATATTTTTCAAGCATTTGATTGACTTTTGTCGAAGACAAAGCAACCAAATGCAGATATTTATCATTGGTTTTTCGCGGTTCTACCGAGTGATATTAGATTTTCTAAAATATCATTTGATCATTGGATACGTGAACGAATATTAAGAAATAGAAATAATATTTTTTTGTACAAGGTAAATTATTAATAAAAATATACGTACATTTGCACGATCAAAAATGATTATCTCGTGTTCTTTGAATCTGATTTATGTTTGATTCATTTTTATTTATAACTAGATTATAATAAATGCTAATAACTATATTTTTTAATATTAAAAAAATAAAAAAATGATATATTTTCATATACATATGTATGTGTACTTATTTTTTATTCTGTTTCAGGAATAAAATCAAAAACCTGTTCTATTCTCATTAATTAAATATATCTCTAATTATAAATAATATATTTATTTATTGCTATTTATGCTGTTTTTATCTATTTTAAACTACAATTATGTGTATTGAAAAATATATAAATTTATTTATTTATATAACTATTAATTATTTATTAATATCGTTAACATTAAATGATATTTATTTACATAAAATGTACATAATATTACGAAATTTTTCAAAATGAATAAAAATATAGTAAAAGCATCATTGTTAATGAAAATCAATTCAATACAGAATTATAATTTTTAGGATAAATTTATAATATAATATATATTATATTAAAATATAATAAACAAAATTTTTTGATAAAATAAAAAAAATCAACTCAAAATATATGATAAATTATAAGTAGTAAATATTTTAAAGATTAACATAGATTCAATTTGAAGTGAGGTTACCTGAGCGAGGCAGCCACTTAATGGCAGCACCATTCAGATTATGCTATCACGGTGAATGAAGTCTCTTTCGATAACAGGTGAAAGAGTAAGCCAATATCACGACCCTTGCATTTCCTCGTCCGTGATATTTTGCAAGAATATATTTCCTGGAACAGAGAATAATGATATTCTACTTACGAGTTATATATAAATGATTTTTTTTGGATTATTTTTATAAAAATATTTAATACGTGTTAAATTTGTTTCTATAAAAAAAATTTTAAATAAATCGTCAATATGCCAATGATTGTTATATAAAAACATAAAAATAATATGTTTTTACTAAGCATTTGTAAGATTTATTTATTTTTTTTTTTGTCATTCATTTCTATTTCTAATCGCATAGGTATAAATTATTAACCGCGATAAGCTTTCTAAGACTAGCTAATAATTAACTTCTGCCGCGATAAATTTGCTTTTCCATATATAATCTATTTAAAAGACGATATGCACATAACACAATATTTTTTAACAAGTGATACATACACTATAAGTTGAATCGTTCTAAATGCGAAAGAAATTTGAATATAATGTTCGATAAATCGATTATTTATTAACATTGTTGCAATGTTCAAATAGTTTATTCGAGAGGTCGACGGCCTAGAATAGGTGGTACATTCGCAGACGTATGTTTTCAGTAAAACATGATCGCGCCCAAACATTCCAATCCCACGCAAATTACTGTCCCTAAGTCCCTCTACAAAATACCAAGTACTCATAGACGATCAAACGTCAGAACAATTTAAGGACTTGATTCCGACAATGTTTCTAAAAAGATAGAAAATTATTTATAGTACCAAAAGTATATAATTAAAATATTGATTCATAAACAATTATAACTAAAGATAATATAATCAATAAAATGTATCGAAAATATATTGAATAACTGATTTCGAATTTTTAATTTTCTAGTGATAAATAAATTTTGTGAATTTAGGTTATGTTCATGTGAAATTTAGATAATAATATACAAATTTATAAAGCTTTGCACGCTATTCACTTTTAATTTTATGATATATTTTGGATTTTAAAGAAATTATGATTAAATTTATATAATATATATATAAATAAATTTATTAATAAATAAATTTGACGAATGATTTGTCAATTTGATACACGAATAATTATTTCAAGAAATTAATAGACATATGATTATCTTCATATCGATCATGAACATTGTAAGATTTAAAATAAAATGTTGACTAAAATATAATTTATTACTGTTAAATGTTAGAACAATTGATAGCAAATATTATAATAGTATTATTATAATAGTATTAAATGTCAATGAAAGGTTATGAATTTCATTAACATAATATAACATTCTATTTATTATATTAATATATAGTTATAAGATAATATAAAATATGTATAATTTTACATAATAAATATTATATTATACATAATAATATTTGTGAATAGTTTAAAATAATTTTTAGGAAACAGGATATAAGATTTCAAAAGTCTATTTTTCTTATAAAATTTATGTAGATAATAATATCAATTATATTATATTTTCATTGACTGATATGTCATAAATCATGAAAATTTGAAATCATACAAAATAAGAGAGAAAATTTGCATCATTATATGATATTAGATTGGTAAACGAATACACATACACATAATGCATATCTATATAAGATATGCTCGACAGGCTTCCTTTAGCCTCGATCGTCATTTTGTTCTTCTTTCCATATTATCTGAAAGGCCTCCCAGGTCGTGGCTCCTACTATAATGTACCGAACCAGTATTACAGTGTTTCATGGACATGATTCTATGTATGTGCATGCAAGTGTCATTTATATACACTACAGAAATGACTATTCGATGTGGAACGATAGCGAACTAAAGGATTGTTTTTAGATATAAACGTCAGTATGCTTTCTACTTATAATGTATTGTTATTTCTTTCTTTGTTTTCTTATGCCAATACATGGAAAAAGAAATATATGTTAATAGAAATATAAATTTAAATAAATAAGAATAACTTAAATTATACAAATCATATTATATAATATAATTATATATAAAGAAAAATCAAATCTTTTAAATTAGATATATTCATTTACGTTAGAATTTTATAATAGAATTTTATGAATTTAATCACTTTCAAGATTGCTTGATCGAAATTCGAGAGTTTTTTTTTGCATATGAATGAGTCAGAGGGGAAACGTTGGCTACGGGTGAACGAACATCAAGGGAGTACACCGGTGTATCGAAGCGAGCAACAGGTGTGACTCGTGTATCTCTGCTGGATACTTACGTGAATAATCCGGCTGGTCGATTCGTTGGCAGGTGTACATAACCGCGTTCTGTCTAGAGTCGCGTATGTCTCCACGGGAAATGACGTGAATGATTGCTTTTCACGATATTATTTCGTTACACGAACCACTGATCACTATGCACGAAATGCATCAAAATTTTTATAGATTCTACCGCTAGATATCGTATCGTTCGCGAACGAAAGTTTCGATTACGTCAACTCGCAAGTTATCGACTCTCGGCTAATCTCAACCTATGACAACTTCAGATGGATTCGATTAATCTTCGATATTTAATGCTGATAGGTAAAAAATAGAGATATGATTATAAATTACAATAAATTCAGAAAATTTTATCAGAAAACAAGTGATGTTGAGAATTTTTTTCCAATAGCAAGACATGGAAACTAATTAAAATTCCGAACAATAAGTAAGGATCGCTGTTGATTCGTGGCATGCACCTGTGGAGCGAGGCGAAATGCACGAAGAGCAAGAAGAGGAACAAAAAGACAGGGTGATGTTCGACCGAACGATTTTCTCTGGCCCTTTAATCAAGAAGGAGGAACCCGTAACGACGTAGCGCGTAATGAGTAATGACATCTGGTCTGTATAGGGCGGGGCTAACAGGTCCCACGCGGTCTCTTGGTTATACATATATGTTCTACGTACACTAACACTATCGTCCGGTTTCTGCTCATTTAAACACTTACGAACTCGATTTAAACGACCTCCATCCGTGCGATTGCCTCTCGTCCGCGTTATTCGTATCGTTCGTGTAAAGCTTCGTGCAGATTTATGAGATTAAATTTATTTATGTGTCTAAGTATGAAATAGATCTTGTTTTGTTAGAAAAAGTTAATTAATTTTAATATTTAATCGAAATAACGATTTAATATTTCGAATAAAAACGTGTTTAAAATTTTTGTAGCTAAAAACTAATTTTCTTTTTCATTGATTATTGATTGAAAATTTATTGATTTCTGTGATTATGACAAACTAATTCTTATTTCAAAAAATATATTTTTATTCCATGAATTATTTTATTCCAATTTATAAAGATAAAAATATCTTACTAATAAATAACCTCAAAAGATCGAAACACACTTCGATTTTCATAGAGTTTATTAGCTAACATAGCTCGGTTGCGTAATAGTTAGAAACGCATAAAACGCAATTATAAATCCATTTCATAACGCGAACTGTTAGTGCCAGATACAGACATATACGCGTGTATATTGAAAGTGCAATATGTTCGCGTTAAAACATCCGCTTGCTAAATACGGTATAAGCGTATCTTAGAATCATACCGGGTGATACTGTTGCAGCATTTTAACTTTGTCGCTGACATCTGAATCGTAATTGCGTACGAAATATTATACTATACGGATAAGGATTTCCTAATATGGACTAAGCTTATATGGAAAGATAAACTATTCTACATTAGGATGTCTAACGTCCTCTCTAACATCTTGTATACAAGAACGAATCCGGTTGTGTAACGGTTTAATAACAAAAACTATATTACCGGCATAAAAAAGCAAGAATATAATTTCTTTGTACAATTTTTCATTTGTGTTTCATGAAAATATAATTGTTCTACGGAAATTTCTTTCTCCATTTTATATATTAATTGTGCTCTTTACAGTGAAATATTTTTCTCTAAAAAAGGATTGACAGTGGATCATATTTTGCGTCAAGGTGAAAAGATTTTCTCAATAACTTTATAGGAATTTTTGTTATCTTTTTTTCTTTTGTGTATTAAAGTTTGTGACATAAAGATATTATAAAATTTTACAAAGCATATTTGTCTACAATCAATGAATCTTTCGAATTTTCGAATTTATGTTACTACAAAGAAGAGGTTAACTTTGTTATAACTTCATATATGTACATTTTTCTTAAAACATGTGATATTATATGTTATTTTGGTTAATTTGTGTCATGTAGGAATCATGTTAATCGTTTCCAGGGACAAGATATCTATGTTGATCGAAAAGAATATACGAGAAAGAAGGGCGAGAAACTGGTCATTACGAGCGAATAGCTGCGTCGAAGTTGTGAGAACCGTGGTGCTGTGAGACGGTGTTATTAAGCAAAAATATTACACCGTTTTCAGAGCATTAACGAACAAGTTTTACAGGGGAACGTAAACCGTGGCCGGCTCATATATTAAGCTGGTTTGAATGTTCTATGAACGAATACGACAAATCCATGCTTCGGTTCTGACCTTCTTTGGCGCGACAGCGTGGGCGCATTTACTTCAGACGGAATTACAGTCTGCACTTACTCCATCTTACCTCAGTCATTTCAGTATAAGTAACTGCAATCGTGAACCGTGACCGTTGTATCGTATCATCTGGTTTACGTAATTATACGTATGAATGCACCGTCTTGGATCAAAAGGTAATTCGCCCGGAAGTGATTCTTACATGAGCTTGGTGGTCCTTGATGATTACAGAATTTAGAATTCGTCGCAGCAGGAAGAAACTGGTTTTACCTGAATCATTTCACGGTTGGGAAAATGGATCGCACATTAGCCAGGACACTGTTAGAAGTTGTCGAGTTAACTCGCATGTTTTATTATAAAAAGTAAGAATTGCGATTTTCATGTTAGATTAAAAATAGAATAGATATTTCACAAGAATTTGGAATTTTTCTCGTTATTTTTATTATTATTTTTTTTTAAAATATCAGTTCAAGGAAATTTTAGGATTGATTTTTAAGGAAATATCGGTAAGTGATCTTTAATTTATTCTTATATATATAATTACATAATAATTAATATAATATTATATATTTTAGGAGATGTATATATTTTACTATGCATTTTTGCAATTAAATGGATCGAGTTCAAGTATTTTCCTGATTCAAAACGTTGTATCTTTGAATGGATAAATGAAATTTAATATACGGATCAACAATAAGTATAATATTATAGCAAGGAAACTTGGTTAAAAGCCAAGAAATGTAAATCACGTAGATAGTTTGATCTACACGGAATCGTAATGGATATGCAAAACTAGAGTAAAATGCCAGATACCGTTTAGTGATTGGAATAAGCACGATTCAGACTGTATTACTTTTGCAGTCAATCACGTGCTTGACTATATTATCTGCGAAGTAAGCTGTTTTCATTGAAAATCAGTATTTGTGATCTCTAATAAAATAATATCATTATAGTAAAATGATACTATGAACAAAAGTAATAATTGATGACTGATTTTATTTGAATTTCAGATGGTAAGATCTTTTATATCTTTTATTTATAATTCTATATATATAATATTTGATATTTGAATTTTTATTTTTTCATATAAATATTAATCTTATAATCATATAGCAAAAAATGGATTATCACTAAATAATTATATCCAAATATATTATATCCAAATTTCCAATATGTATTTAAATATTTATTGCTATGTCTTTTAAGTCATTTTATAAAATAACATTTTATTAAATTGTGAAACATAAAAATTTCAGAAAATGGATTTTTTTTTTCAGAAAATTTTCTTCAAGATCATAAATCATTTCAATCATATCTATTTATCATTCGTCTCATTCATATTAAAAAGTTTCTTTCGTTTGTCAATCGAATGATCAAATCATGAGCTATTATATTAGTCACACCTATAATCGGGCAATAGAGTCGTATACAGTTTTGCTAGTTGTTCAACACGGATATCACATTACACACGTAACGTGGAGTAAAAGTACAGATGCTTGAACTCTTATCATTTATCAACTGATTTAGCCGTCGTTGAAAGAGCTGAGCAACGTGCCTTGTTTCCCCATATATGTATAGTGGCACGCTTATCGCATATCGAAACTCTGACACGAACTACATCTCGCAAAACTCTAAACTTGCTGTTTGCATAGTTACAGATTTTTATAATGGCGCGTTAGCATTGATATCGACGCAAGATAAACAGTATCTGTATTTCTCGACCCCGAGGGATCATTTCCTGTTTTGCAAGCAAATACTTGACACGTTAGCACATTGCAAAATTTTCGAAAATATATATAAATTTCGTTTCTTCATCCAGTTGGCAGACCACTCCAATTGGAATCGAAACACTGGTTAACACATTTTCTGCAACAATTTATTACTTCTGCCGTTTATATTCGCCGCCATTTAACAGATATTTACGCCACATTAATAATGTGGTAACCGCGTGATTCTTGAAAATTTTCTCATCTGGCTGCATCGTACATGTCGTTCACAAATCATAAACACATCTCTGCGACAAAATTATGCGCTCACCTTATTCACTCGTAACGTGTAAATTATGAGCCAACAGTGGACCGGTTTCCATCGAACTGAATCCGAAACCTTATTCATTTTTTATATTTTGAATACGAAAAAATGTGTGTACAAATTTCGGATATTGGATAATATCAATTTTATGTGTTTATTCTTGGAATGATTACCGTAATTTAAATTGGAATGTTTAAAATTTATATA